ATCAAGTTTTCCATAACGCAAAACGCGTATCACCTCATCTTCTCGCTGTTGTCGATGCTTGATATATTCAGTGATTTTTGTCGTTGCGTTCTCAATCACTGCTCCATGGCCGGGGTACCCGCGTCCCGACACTCGGTCTTGCATTCGCTGTAGACTGGACAGATACACTGTCAAATCTTCAAATACCGCAGTCCCATGTCCCAGAACGTCTAGTAGGTTTTAGTTCAGCTATGCACGGCTATATCACAAGCTGGTAGGTGCTGGGGGAAAGGGAGTACCTACTGTCACCAGTAAAAATCGCGTCTTCTTCCTCTAGCACAAATATCATATGATCAACTGTATGCCCCGGTGTATGGAACGCTTTCAATGTGGCTCCCTCTACGCTGAAGACCTGTCCATCTTCAATACCATTCTGCCCCTCGTTTGGTTGATTCTTGTAGATAGTGACTTGAGGACAAAGCTTGCGAAGGTCAGGGATGCCATTGACGTGATCATGGTGCCAGTGCGTCAAGAGTGCTTTATGCACGGTGGCATTCTCTTCCGACAGGATTGTCTTCAGATGAGAGGCCCAGGAAGGCTTGCCTTCACCCGTGTCAATTAGAATCCGTTGAGGTCCACGACCTATCAGATATGTATTGGTTCCTGAACGATGTTGTTAGGCCAAAAGCTGCGAATCCCATTGGAAGAAGGTGAAGTGACACACCCTGCAATGTAAACTATATACAGCGTCAAATCAACGTGGGTTCTTATTTCATCGAGCTTCACGGAATGTGCATCAAGTCCTGGTAGTCCAAGGGCATTTTTGATTCGCAGCCACCAGACTAGGGGAATATCAAAATACATGGTCCGAGCCTACCTTTCCGGGATTACCACCAAGTATCCGCACCACTGAAGCACTGAGTCTCTCCACCTCCGGCAGAGGAACGAGCTGAGTCGCCATAGTTGGGCACGAACGTTCTCCGGGTCAAATCAAATTGAAACGGAGAGTCCGGAGCCTTATCTTTCAGCTATCCCTAGGTCTAGATTCGTCGACAAACGCGGGGCAAAAAATGTTGGGCAGTGGAGAGAAATATTGATCGAGAGTAATAGGTATCAGCGGATCGATGGGGCGTCCAAACCCGCGAAAGGAAAAAAAGGCACCGTTCTTCCAAATTGTGGACTTGGCTACACCATAGTCGACGCTAGATAGAGTAGGATCGTCCAACAGCACCACTGTGTCCAACGTCACTCAGAATTCGCCGAACGCTTTTTATTCAACCTTGGTTGCTCAAGCGGGGTGAATCGGAAATGGTCTAGATGAGATCTTCCTGTTAGGTGAAAGCATATGGTTTTGATTCACGCAATGTCAACTGACCACGACTGACTAATGAGGAAACAAAGACAATCTCACATCCGTACGGAGTACTTCGTATCTTATTGATATAGTAGAAATTACATGCCGAGAGCGGGGCTTAGGTTTGAGCCTCGGCTGAGCACGCGATCTTATGTCAGCTATGTCGAAATTTAGCAATGAGAACTACTCAAGCTATTCATCATATGTTAATCTACAGCTCATCGGGCTATAGAAAGTAATGTTCAGGCAGAATGGAATGAGAGAATATAAATCTGAACAAAAAGGAAATATGGTATGATTGCTGTCCCTAACATACATTTGATGATATAGGAAAAAAAGACACAAGACTATATTCATATAGTCCACCCAAACTCAAAAGGGCCCAACAAATGTGGAGATAACAAAGTAAACAGGTCGTTAAATTTTGAACTCGACTCCGCAATATCCCATCGTAGAAGTACTATTAGCAGCTGCTATCATCCCCAGAGCTGCCACTCATTCTCAACGTGACAAGCCGCATGGCAAGGCACTAAGCTGATATGTTTCTCCTTGATCAGAAACATATACAGTATAATTTACAAACGGACCAATGTTGACCCCAGCGCTAAACCCACGTTGCGGCAAATTTAGTTATCAGCCTTGCGGGCCATGGTGTTGAGGGCAGAACCGTCCTTGAACCACTCGATTTGGGACTCGTTGAAGGTGTGGTTGAGCTTGACGTCGAAGGTCTTGCCATCCTTGGGATGGACACGGAGAGTCATGGGCTTGCCGACCTCAAGCTCGGTGCAGAGCAGGTCAACCTTGTCATCAGGCTGGATCTTGTCATAGTCGGCAGGCTCAGCGAAGGTCAGAGGAAGCATACCCTGCTTCTTCAGGTTGGTCTCGTGGATACGGGCGAAGCTGCGAGTGATGATAGCAAGACCACCAAGGTGTCTCGGCTCCAGAGCAGCGTGCTCACGAGAGCTACCCTCACCGTAGTTCCAGTCACCAATGACAACCCACTTGACGCCACGAGCCTTGTAGTCACGGGCAGTAGCAGGGACAGCATCGTATTCACCAGTGAAAGCGTTCTTGATCTTGTTAGCCTCACCGTTCTCGGCGTTGACGGCACCAATGAGCATATTGTTGGAGATGTTGTCAAGATGGCCACGGTACTTCAACCATGGGCCAGCCATGGAGATGTGGTCAGTGGTGGTCTTGCCCTGGCACTTGATGAGGATAGGAATGTCAGTGGCATCCTTGCCATCCCAGGCCTGGAATCCCTGGAGGACCTGGAGACGGTCACTGGTAGGGGAGACAGCGACGTTGACAGTGGAGCGGTCCGCAGGAGGAGCTTGGTAGGTGTTACGACCGGGGTCGTAGCCCTTAGCGGGGAGACCCTCACCGGTGGGGGCCTTGAGCTTGAACTCCTTGCCATCCTTGTCCTTCAGGGTATCGGTGAGAGGGTTGAACTTGAGGGTACCGGCGACAGTCATGGCAACGACAAGGTCGGGGGAGGTGACGAAGGAGTGGGTGGCGGGGTTGGCGTCGTTACGGCCAGTGAAGTTACGGTTGTAGGAGGAGATGATAGAGTTGGCCTCGCCCTTCTTAACATCCTTACGGTCCCACTGTCCAATGCAAGGACCGCAAGCGTTGGCAAGGATGACACCACCGTACTCCTCGAGGGTCTGCAGCTGACCATCACGCTCGATAGTGGCACGAATCTGCTCAGAACCGGGGGTAATGGTGAAGAGAGACTTAGACTTCAAGCCATGATCAAGGGCATCCTGGGCGATAGAAGCGGCACGGGACATGTCCTCATAGGAGGAGTTGGTGCAAGAACCGATGAGACCGACCTTGAGCTCTTCAGGCCACTTGTTGGCCTCGACAGCCTCCTTGAACTTGGAGATGGGGGTAGCAAGATCGGGAGTGAAGGGACCGTTGATGTGAGGCTCCAGCTCAGACAGGTTGATCTCAATCAGCTGGTCATACTCGGCACCCTCATCTTCGCGAAGCTCCTTGGCGTAGGACCTGGCGAAGTCGCCAATGTGCTGACGCTTAGTGGCCTTCAGGTAGTCGTACATGCGGTCATTGTAGGGGAAAAGAGAGGTGGTAGCACCAATTTCAGCACCCATGTTACAGATGGTACCCATACCGGTGCAAGAAAGAGAGTTGACACCAGGTCCGTGGTACTCAACGATAGCACCAGTACCACCCTTGACAGTGAGGAGGCCAGCGACCTTAAGGATGATATCTACACACAATCAATTAGCTTTCTTCCGTTTCACCTACAAGGAAATGACGGTGTAACTTACCCTTAGGAGTGGTCCATCCAGACAGCTCACCGGTGAGCTTAACACCAATGACCTTAGGAGCCTTAAGTTCCCAGGGAAGACCAGCCATCACATCGACGGCATCAGCACCACCAACACCAATGGCAGCCATACCAAGACCACCACCGTTAGGAGTGTGAGAGTCGGTACCGATCATCAGACCACCGGGGAAAGCGTAGTTCTCCAGAACGATCTGGTGAATAATACCGGAGCCAGGCTTCCAGAAACCAATGTTATACTTGGCAGTAGCGGAGGCAAGGAAGTCGTAGACCTCCTTGTTGATCTCGTTGGCACGAGCCAAATCCTTGTCACCTCCAACCTGAGCCTCAATCAAGTGGTCACAGTGGACGGTGGTAGGGGTAGCGACGGAAGGCATGCCTGCCGACATGAACTGAAGGATAGCCATCTGGGCGGTGGCATCCTGGCAAGCGACACGGTCGGGGCGCAGCTTCAAGTAGGAAGTACCGCGCTCGATATCCTGCTCATGGGGGTTGTCGAGGTGAGAGTAGAGGATCTTCTCGGCGTACGTAAGAGGACGGCTCAGACGCTTGCGAACGATTTCCAAGTTCTCAGACATCTTCCTAAAAAATTGGCACAAATGTTAGCCACCGCGTCAATGGACCAAGATGGCGCATTAACAAAACAGGAGCCAGGATCCTGCTATGAAAGTAAAAGGTGCTGCCATACTTGTAGTTGATGTAGTTGCCCTGTGAAACATCGTCAGCAAATTCCGATATCCATATAGGGTAATCGCCAACTCTCCCGGTGTAGCCGAGAGTACAGTCTTGTTCATTGCTTACCTTTTCAACATTGGACATCTCGACCTTCTTGTCGAGAGGGTGTTCGCTGGCGGTGGCCAGACCCCGGGCCCCGAGAAACTGTGAAATATGTTAGGTTCCATTTCGATACCCGTGCCATAGGGGTCCCAATTTCTCGCAGAAGCGAGAACAATAGTCAGGGTGTTCTTACAAGACGGGACTTGGGGGCCTGCGAAAGAGATCCATGTTAGTCCAAGATGCCTCAAGAGTAAATCAGCCGGAAACCCTAGCATCGAATTGGAGACGATGCAGGCGCCGCGATGCTGGACGAAGCCACATATCCAGGACGACTTACCAGCGCACCCATGCGCGCGAGCCTTGTGGAGATCATTTTGAAAGCTCTCTATGCGAGGTGAGCAAGGCCGCAACACATCCAAGAAGAGCTAACTTCAACAGTTGGAAGTAGCAAAGATGGAGTGGAGAGTAAAGAGAGAAGAAAGAGGTCAGAAGAGAAGGGAAAATGGAGCAGATAAAAAGGAAGCTCTGGTGTTTTTTAGAGTGGGAAAGAATTCTTGCTTTACAGTAGCCATTACTGAACCGGCGAACAGGACCCGTAACCGCTCGTGACAATACAGGGGCCTTACGCATTCGGGACACTTGGGACCCAAACTAAGCATGCGACCGGACACAAGGAAGTGGCTGGGCAACCCGCGATTGCCCCCCCCCTTTCTTTACCCTGTCGAGAGCTTCAATATTCGGCTTACCTACACGCATTCATTTTTCAGGACCCATATTGTCATTAATCGGGACCTAAAGTTTCCCATCGATTCGAAAAGCGCTCTCTCTTAGTGGTCGCGACAAATTTCCATGTGGCCTTTTGATACTTAGAATAGCTCTACCTCCATACCTTAACGTTTACCCGTGTCTGGTTACATGGTAATAATACAAGCGCAGTCAGTGAACCAACGCATGTGAGCGGAGATCATGATAGACCAATCATGCATGACTGATTACATCAAACTTGAGCTATAGTACTCGGAGTACATCATAGATGCAGCTTTTGACATTTCGAGACATCCAACGCTGTCGGCAGCTTCTACAGGGGGCAGCGTAATGTGGCAAAGTGCGAAAATTTCTAAGATCATTTCATTGCAGGGTCAAGGCGATACTGCTCGCTGAATGAGAAGATCCTCGTTACTGGAGTAACTTGATTGGGTCTCTGCCGTCTTATTTCTCCTAAAACGCAACTGGGTGATGCTGTTCCGGAGCAATGTGCCGAAAAAATGGAAACGTCATAAAATACGACCTGCGAAAGATGGATGTAACGGCGACCCCAGCATGCTGACAGAGCCGAGCCAGAGCCGAGGCCTACCGATGGTCATCCATCCCGCGGACCGGTGCCAAGCCAACGGGCTTTCGGCCAATGAGGAGCGACATGTTTCACCAAATTCTTTTCGCGCACACAATGGCGGAAATTTTGAGATAGTTGACCCGCTCTCGCAAAAACTAAAGCTTTAGCATCGTTCCGTATATCGGTGATAATACTTTGCGACGCCAAAAAAAAAAGAAGTACCTGCAGGCTGGTTCTGGTAGATAGGTATCCAAAATGGGCGCTTTGAGAAGAATTAAGACAAAGCGCAGGACAAGGTACTACAACCCCCAGCTATTGTCTACATCTTAGGGTTTTACAAAAGCATTCTGACTCGAGTGATATCTACAGGGATTACGATCAGGTTCGAGCCGATATCGAATCCCCCAAACACCTTGCGCAGTACAAAGCCACCAAGGACCCAGAGGATCTACCAGGGCTTGGAAAGCATTATTGCGTCGAGTGCTCAAAATGGTTTGAGAGTGAACATAACCTGGTTGCCCACACAAAGGGTAAAAACCATAAACGAAGGTCAGTGATTGACTCGCACGATCTGGGCGCCAGCATTTGTACGCAACCTGAAGCTGACTCGAGCACATCTTGTGTATATAGAATTCGCCTCCTACGCGAAGAACCTCATACACAGAAGGTCGCTGAAGCCGCTGTGGGTTTAGGCACTGACAACGGCCTGCGTTCGGGAGAAACTGTGGTCGACATGGAGGAATAATTTTCTACGACTACTACGCGATTTATGAGCATCAGCGACTATTTGATATACATCGCCAATATGGAGGGGGTATGTCTCTTGGACAGGCTGAACGAGAAGCCACAGAAGAAAAATTCATCCTTCGAAGGTTGATGTTGTCTTGAAGACAATGCTATTGGTTGCATAGCTCAAGTCCTTTCAGCCAATCAGAAATTGGCAGGGTCACATGAAACACGTGAAACCACATGCGCCGAAAACCGCCAGAGTTTGGCGCCCGATTTACCGAGTACGCTGATTCCGTCTTGCGGTGACCCGATCGGAATCGCCGTTTCTCGGATATTCGTATATTGAGCTCCACTCTAACCGGCCACTATTTAGTTAGGGCGAGTATTACTTACAAGTCGCAATACATAGACATAACTTAATTTTTGTAGACGATCTACTCCGGAGTATATCCCTATTTATGAAACTTGTGCATGTGTCTGATTCCATGGGTTGTTGAGATATCTCATGAGCCACTCGTAGCTTGCCCACTGTTACGTACATTGCATTGATTAGCTGTGGCCCTGATGTGTATACGTGGAAAAACATACCTGGACAGCATTTACTATGAATGCCCTTACACTGCATATTCCTAACCCACGATAGAAGGCCTTCAGCCCTTCTGTCCGATATGTCTCCCTAGCGAGCTGAAAACTGTTCAGCGTCTGTCTCTCATTTCGAGACTGCACCAGAGGCTGGTCTTCAGGGCGTGATGGGAGCCCCTGCGCCTGCAATCTGGTCTTGATCATGTCCAGCGGATAAACTGAAGCCCACGTAGCTACTCCAGCAACACCACCGCACAGGAGTACTTTCATTGCCGCTTGCTGTGCATTGTCGTCCTTAGAGGCCATCAGACGTTTACAATACTCATAAGTCCAAAAACTGTGTCGATATAATTAATGGTGCGCTCAAACTAGAACATGCGGGGGGGAGATCCGGGGAAACATTGTGCGTACTAAAATCCATAGCCAATAGAGTCTCGAGCACAGGTTATGGCTCCTCCGAAATAAAGCCCCCTCCAGCCAAGGGTCCTGACAATATCTCTGGTGACGGTCCAAGAAGACACTCCCGGGCGTGTGTCAAGTTGCGTTCGGCATTTGATAAACTCAGTCGGAGACGACACAGTCCAGCTGGCCACTCCGCCTGCAGCACCAGCAAGCCATAATTTATACAGTGTAATTCCTTGAGGGTCTGTGGGATCTATCACAGAACTGTCCAAGAGCATCAATGACCGGTTATAGGCAACAAAAAGTATAGCGTTTAGAGCCCCATATCCAAGAATTGGAGCCGCAGCACCTAATATAGAGGTAAGTTAATGTGCCTAGTCTGGGAACTTTACAGTGGCTGCCAAACCTCGCACGAGGGAGCTGGTGCTCTCAAAGCGGCTCAAGTGCCGGTGCGGAAATGTTGCAGCTGCATCTGTAGCACGACTTGCTTGTAATCGAACTTTAATAAGATCCAGAGGATTTCCGATGATGATCCCGATGGCCCCACTAAGGTAGCCAGCCCAGAAGTCTGAGGACATGAGATCAAACTTCGACCTCTGAACAGTAGTCGGTAGTATAAGGTTATTTCATTTCTTTCATCTGATGTTAGTGCTCGTCAGAGTGGCGGGGTTCCATAGTAGCACTGGTATCAGCACGTGATAGCGTGATACTTTGGTGTTTAGGCAATCACAGGGAAACGCGCCAAGAGGTGGCAACGCGTTGTTCATGACTATGGAAGTAACATTGACTGCCAGACTTCAACCCACCTATTAGTACGTATATTAGAAAGGTCTGGATAGCACCGCTACCTTTAATGTAAGACGAATATTCGTTTAGTTTCCTGATGCTATAAATCGCTAACTTCTCAAGGTATCGACCACGACCGATTGCAAGGGAAGATGGCGGAAACACCCCGTTATCCAAAACCCTCCAGACCCCGTCCTCGAAGTCCATTGACCGCCTATCGAAACCATTCAAATGTCCTGGATCTGCTACACCCACACGGACTTCCGATAAACCTGCGAGGAAACGAAGAAAAGTGAACTATGCGGGGGCTGACGAAGCTGTGGACGATAATAGTGAAAAGCCTTATTCCAACGAGGAACGCTTAGCACTCGCCACCAGAGATGTGAATAGATTTCCTGTGTTCAAACCTAAAGATAAAGAGACAACATTTAAACAACGATTCAAGATACCTCTAATCAACAAGGCGGTTAACAGCTACAATGGCGCTAGACCAGCGCCAACTTTGGGGATGCGACAAGGTGCTACATTTGTTGTGAAACCTCTACATGATCCTAGCGGAGAATTTGCGATAGTGCTGTATGACCCGACTGTCGATGATGTCGATGAAAGCACTGAAGCGAAGTCACCAGAAGATGGAAAGCCAGAAGAACAACAGCCCAAGTTAGACGCCCCCCTTGTGCACAAGAGCTTAGCAGACATACTTGGTCTCAAGAAAAAGGTTGAAACTGGTCCAAAAGTTCCAGTCGTGATAGATCCAAGGCTGGCAAAGGTTCTACGTCCACATCAAATTGAAGGTGTAAAGGTAACATGACGGTTCCAGTCAATGCTCTCCTGCGACGTTAGACTAACGATAACTGTCCCCTAGTTTTTATACCGCTGCACAACCGGCATGGTCGATAAAAACGCACACGGATGTATAATGGCGGATGGAATGGGACTAGGAAAAACGGTATGGCCAAAAGACCCTTCAGAGTAGTAGGCCCGACTGACGGCGATAGCTTCAATGCATCTCATTGATGTGGACATTGCTTAAGCAGTCTCCTGAGGCAGGCAAGACCCTTATCCAAAAGTGTATCATTGCTTGTCCCTCAAGTTTGGTTGGCAACTGGGCCAATGAGCTTGGTAGGTAGTGCGCTCTGAAGGTTTGAATGCCTGCTAACAATCACAGTGAAATGGCTGGGTAAAGATGCCGTCACTCCTTTTGCGGTGGATGGTAAATCTTCGAAGACAGAACTCACATCTCAGATCAAGCAATGGGCTATTGCTTCCGGTCGCGCCGTTGTAAGACCTGTGCTCATTGTGTCCTACGAAACGCTTAGGATGTATGTTGAGGCATTAAAGGACAGTCCCATAGGGCTACTTCTTTGCGATGAAGGTCATCGGCTCAAAAATAAGGATAGTTTGACATGGACTGCACTCAACAGTCTAAATGTGCAACGTCGTGTTATCTTGTCAGGAACCCCTATTCAAAACGACCTTTCGGAATATTTCGCCCTGCTCAACTTTGCCAACCCAGATTTATTAGGGTCGCAGAATGAATTTCGGAAAAGGTTTGAATTACCTATTCTCAGAGGAAGGGATGCTGCCGGGTCGGAAGAAGACAAAAAGAAAGGCGATGAATGTCTAGCTGAGCTCTCAACCATCGTCAACAAATTCATTATCCGCCGAACAAATGATATATTGACGAAGTACTTGCCAGTCAAGTATGAGCATGTTGTCTTTTGCAATTTATCTCAATTTCAACTCGACCTCTATAACCACTTCATTCAGAGCCCAGAGATTAGGAGCTTGCTCAAGGGCAAAGGAAGCCAACCGCTTAAGGCAATTGGCCTTTTGAAAAAGCTCTGCAACCACCCTGATCTACTAAACCTCTCCACCGACCTTCCCGGATGCGAATTCGCATTCCCAGAGGATTATGTGCCGCCTGAGGCAAGAGGGCGTGACCGCGATATCAAGTCTTGGTATTCCGGGAAAATGATGGTTTTGGATCGAATGCTTGCACGCATACGCCAGGATACTAACGATAAAATTGTTCTCATCAGTAACTACACTCAGACACTTGACCTGTTCGAAAAGCTATGCAGATCGAGGGGTTATGGCTCATTGAGACTGGACGGTACCATGAATGTGAATAAGCGGCAAAAGCTCGTCGACAAATTTAACAACCCGGACGGGGAAGAGTTTGTATTTCTCCTCAGCAGCAAAGCCGGTGGATGTGGCCTCAATTTAATAGGTGCCAATCGCCTCGTGCTGTTTGACCCAGATTGGAACCCAGCTGCTGACCAACAAGCATTGGCGCGAGTTTGGCGTGATGGTCAAAAGAAAGACTGTTTCGTGTACAGATTTATCGCGACTGGCTCAATTGAGGAAAAGATCTTTCAACGGCAGTCTCATAAGCAATCGCTGTCCTCATGCGTTGTGGATTCAGCGGAGGATGTTGAGCGGCATTTTTCTTTGGAGTCTCTCCGCGAACTATTCCAATTCAAACCGGAAACTCGAAGTGACACACATGACACCTTCAAATGCAAGAGATGCAGACCGGATGGAACGCAATTCATCAAGGCGCAGGCTATGCTGTATGGCGATACCAGCACCTGGAACCACCTTGTTAATGATGGAGAGAAGGGTGCCCTCAGCAAGATCCAGGACCTGCTGATGCGCCAGGAGACCGGGGAGAGAGATGTGTCTGCGGTATTCCAGTACATAAGTCACTGACCTATAATTCTTACAAGCATCATGTTCTACACCGTCTGTATGTTCAAAGCAGTTGATATGACAATCATGAGTTGTGACAATCTTGGGCTGTTAGTGCAGCTAGTTAAGTATACTATGGATGTATTCATCCTTTTGCTATCATAGGCTACATTAGGTCTATGGCCATGAATTTTGAGCGCGTATTATATTGGAGTAAATAGAGTCAACTTTTTAAGGTTGATTAAGATTATCAAGTTAATCTGAAACTCATGTTTTCGGATAATAGTGTCACTATATAATGTTTACTCGTGTCATATCGTTCGATGGTGGTCATACAATGATTCATGAGACTGATTACAACATGACTTGATGAATGTCTCTTCGTACCAGTACTACCGGTACGTTGAGCTACGCAGATCACTTACCTATCCAAGTCTCCATCCCGTTCCTGTGCAGATTGCTTTTTCCCCCAATAGCCCAAAGCGAAAGAAATCCTATCCACTTGTTCTACTAGTATTGTGCAGCCAATGAGTATTCACTGTTCTTAATGCGATGTTCCTGCTCAGCTCAGGTCATATGAGTACTGGTCACATTATTGACTTCGGTCGCCGCGAATCCAGTGAGCAGCTTTCCAGGCTTCCGCGGCTGATGATTCGAACCACAGCTCGCTCAACGAGACTATGATTGGCGACATCTGACGTAAGAATCAAGACTGAGCTAAGTGTTTGCTTTTTTCTAGAATACGAGGCTGCCCGGAAGTATTCATAGGTGGAACGGACCGAATCCTGTTCTTCCAGTAGAAGACAGTATGGACCCTTATTCATGACCATTCCCAAGAGCCACGGGACAACACCTGGCACAATGAAAACGTGAACATGTCATTCTATATTGTTATTGACTTCATTCTGCGTCTGTCTTTAAAATAGCCACTCATCTGTACTTCTTCTACATTGTAGCTTTGCTGCTGATCCTGCTGTGAAGAGTGCGATACAAGAGATGGATCTCTACATCCGAATCTTCCTTGAACTTGCTTACGGACAAATAGAGAAGTAATTCGTGTTGGATACTATTGGTTCGGACTCTGGCTTATTGCTGCGCAGGTCCTACTCTACTTATGCATGTAGCATAAGCATCAGACATGTCTTATACTGTTGCAAGGAGTAAATCTTCTTCACATCTTTGTTATCCCTTCAGCTTGGGTTGTCACCTACCAAATTCGGACTAACCACATGTCTCCATAAGCAATAGGAGGGCTTAGACTATAGTGCCCCCTGTGTGTGAAGCTAGAAGAAGCTGCATATCCTATGCAAAGCATCCACTTGATCACCAAGATAGTGGATCGCTCGGGTCTCATTCGTCTTACGGACTGATCAGGTCTCTGTTGCTCATAATGCTACCGCCACAATAACCTTTTCGACGATGAAAATTCACAACCCGACGACCAAACAGAGAACATTATGGAACAGAATGCAAGCTAGTGACTCCCCAGAGCCACTTTTCAGCAAATCAAAAGGACGTGCTTACGTGGGGCAATATATGTTCCAAGGAAGATCTAAGCAAGGGATAGATCCTAGGAGGCAAATGCATTCCTAGCTCTGGTCCGTATTTCAGATGCGCCACGAATACATGTCAGATTGCCAAGTCCCAGGCCAGCTGATAATATAGCATTCCAGACTCAATTTGTGATTCAAAATGACTAGCCCCTGACCGTTTTGTCTGACTTGAAGACCATGTTTGCACAGAAGTGGCGTATATAAATCCTTTCGTATCCGACATGTACATCGATCCCTAGAGGCATTTTCAAAGACAAGACATTGATATCTTCACCATGCGCTCTCTCGTCTTCGCAGCAGTTTCATGTCTCCCTGCCATCATTGCAGCGGCAGATCCTCCCGATCTCGGTTTTGACAAACTCTGGTCCTTGGAAAACAATATCTGGACGAACTTCCTCTACCCAGCTAATCTAAAGCAAATAAACGCAACGGATAACTCCGTGTTCACGGAAGATGTACACTCCAAACCCTAGTCTAAACCTCCCTATATATGTATAGATACTAATAGAAACAAGGTCCAAGGACGTGTCGATATTACACGTACCTTTCCCGGCCGAGAACTGAACAATGAATACATCTTCGGGCTTTTCTCACAGCCAGACTCCCTCAGTTTGACTGGTGTCGCGATTAACTACACCATCACACAGTTCGTCGCCAACCAGAACATGGCCTCGGCTACGACAGTGATCACTTTCAACTCGACTTCGTTTGATGTTCTTCTCCCGCTTACTGTTGACTCGTGGATGGCCTTCAATAAAGATGGCAAGGTCACCCAATACGATGCTACTTTCCGTTGGTTCGACTGGTTCGTAAAGACACTGTTCGAGGCTGCGGCGGTGAAGTTCAATACGATGGATCCAGCTGTTGTCAAGAGCACATTGACTGAGATGCTGGCGAAAGCTATCTGTGAGACGAGTGACAAGTACTGCACGGGTGATAATAAGCAGTATGATAGTCAAGAACAATGCATGCAAGTCTTGACGAAGGAGAAGAGGTTCGGGGACCCATATGAGTTGGGAAGAGATACCTTGCTTTGCCGGGAGGTACACAAGCATATGGTGCAGTATCGACCAACAGAGCATTGCTCACATATTGGACCGAGTGGGGGAGATATGTGTGTGGATGACAAGTCTTACGTACAGACAGTTCTGGAGTCATACTTCCCCCAGTCGTGGATTGCCAATGGTTACGGGGATGATAACATCTGGGTGAAGAAGTAGAGTCAGGTAGTTGACGAAGGATATGTATGGTAGCTAGTTTAATTATTAATATGTAGCGATCCAATTCGTGTTTCGTTTTTATTTTCCCCAACAGTTTCAAGTTCAGCTCAACTCATGAGCACAAGCAGTCCTCTTTTGAGATTTGTACACTCAACATACATCGCTTACTAATTTTATAGGACAGAGATGTCAGCTCCAAAGCCAGTCTTTCTAGGTTCATACTCGAAACCAAGTACACGGCTTCTCGATTCTCTATGGCCTATTTAGCACTTCCTCGCCAGAGTTACTATAAAAGTAGCATTATGATAGCCTTTTCGATTCACTCCCATCACGAGGCAAGATTCGACAGGAACGAATGAATGAAGCCCAAAGCGATACAGAGCGAGTACTTGAGGATCGAATTAGCTTCACACACACACAGTGAATTAACTACTAGGCCACACACGATGCGAGAGTTTTCAATTTCAAGAAAAGGTTATATAAATGCCGCAACAGAACGAACAGGTACACAGAAAATGCCGCAAACTTGCGTGGTTTATGTACGCCAAGTACTGTAATTACCACCGATCGGTAAGATTGAAATCAATACTACCTTGAGGGTTATGGATTCGGCGATTGCGATTGCGATTGCGACAGATCCGCCGCAATTGGTGCTATTTCATAATCCTTTGCCAATTACCTTGCTTCATTGAATAATCTCTGCGAAGGACACATTCGTCTTCATCTGCTGGTTGGAAAAATCTATTTACTTTCGACCAGATCTCCGTCCATCGCAAAAGAGGCAAGCAATTCCTCGGGATATCGAGCTGTGAAGTCATCATTTACTTCCGAACCTTTTTCCTCCGAACCCGGCGGTCCTCACGAGACAGCAGTTCCACAGCAGCTTCACCACGATTACGATGGTTCCTTGAATAAAAGCAAAGTTCTCGCGTTCTCTCGGTCACTGCGATATTTATTTCACCATCATGCTGCCCAGGGCAGCCCGACCGCCGTGCCTCCGTGTCCCCGGGCGCTTCGCACATCGCGGTCCCGCAGTCCCGCGCTCCACGCCGCGGATAGCTACACGACATAGCATCCAGTTCAGAGCATTCTCGACGGGCAAAGGCCTATTGAACAAAGATGCTACTTCAGAACCTTCCTCGCCACCAAAGACACCCAGTTCCGCTTCTCCGCTTCCCCCTCAATCACCGGACCGGAAAACGAAGAATGCCCAGAATGCCGCAGGCAAGCCGAAGAGAGATCTTCTGAGCGAGACTACGGTGGGAAAGAAGGAACAAAGGAAGGCAGATTGGGCAATCATGAAAGAAATGGCCAAATACCTCTGGCCCAAGGTAAGGCCTGGAGCGGCCGTCGTGGGTTGGAAAACGTTTGGCGTTAATTGTGATTCTATAGGATGATTGGGGCACGAAGCTGCGCGTCGGAACTGCCCTGTCGTTACTGGTTGGAGCAAAGGTAAGTGATGATTCTGTAGTTATCCTAGTGTCAGTAATTGGAGCTTACATTGTGGGTTCAGATTCTCAACGTAAATGTGCCATTCTATTTCAAGAGCATTGTCGACTCGATGAATGTGGACTTCGCCGCAATCGGCGGAACGGCCTATACTGTTGCGGGCTCTATGATCATAGCTTGTAAGTGAAGCATGCACATACAACGCAGTACCCCTGTCTAACTGCAGTAATCCAGATGGTGTTACCAGGATTGGCGCTACACTTTTCCAAGAACTTCGAAACGCCGTGTTTGCTAGTGTTGCCCAGAAGGCAATCCGCAGAGTTGCACGGAATGTATTCGAGCATCTCTTACGACTAGATCTCAATTTCCACCTTAGCAGACAAACCGGTGGCTTGACTCGGGCAATTGATCGCGGAACGAAAGGCATCAGCTTCCTACTGACATCAATGGTCTTCCACGTTGTTCCTACTGCTCTGGAGATTTCTCTTGTCTGCGGAATCTTGGTACAGTACAAACGTACACATCATAAACCTGGACTGTTGCTGACACATTGACAGACATACCAATATGGTGCACAATTTGCTGCGATCACGGCTGCGACCATGGTAGCATACAGTGCTTTCACAATAACAACTACTGCATGGAGAACCAAGTTCCGAAAACAGGCCAATGCTGCAGATAATCGCGGTGCCACAGTAGCCGTAGATTCTCTGATCAACTACGAGGCTGTCAAGTACTTTAACAATGAGAAATTCGAGGTCGCACGGTACGATAAGGCACTTAAAGCTTATGAGGACGCCTCTATCAAGGTGACAACGTCGTTGGCTTTTCTCAATTCCGGTCAGAACATGATTTTCTCAAGTGCGCTTGCCGGCATGATGTACCTCGCAGCAAATGGAGTCGCCAGTGGTTCGTTGACTGTTGGAGACCTGGTGATGGTCAACCAGCTTGTCTTCCAGCTGTCCGTGCCTCTAAACTTTCTTGGCTCTGTGTACCGTGAATTACGTCAGTCCTTGCTAGACATGGAGACCTTGTTCAACCTACAGAAGGTCAATGTGAACATCACGGAAAGGCCAGATGCGAAACCTCTACAGCTCCACCGCGGAGGGGAGATCAAGTTCGAGAATGTGACTTTTGGCTATCACCCGGACCGCCCTATTCTCAAGAATGCAAGCTTTACGATTCCTGCTGGCCAGAAGTTTGCTATCGTGGGACCCAGTGGCTGCGGCAAGTCAACGATCCTGAGACTACTGTTCCGGTACTATGATGTCCAAGAGGGCCGCATTCTAGTCGATGGTCAGGACGTGCGGGATGTGACTCTTGAAAGCTTACGGAAAGCCATTGGTGTTGTGCCCCAGGATACCCCGCTCTTCAATGACTCTATCGCACACAACATTCGCTACGGAAGAATTGACGCTACAGATGAAGAAGTGCGCAAGGCTGCACAGCGGGCGCACATCCACGAACTGATTGAGAAGCTTCCCGAGGGATATAAGACCGCTGTTGGTGAACGCGGAATGATGATATCCGGTGGTGAAAAGCAGCGGTTAGCTATCTCACGACTGATATTGAAGGACCCAGAACTCCTGTTTTTCGATGAAGCTGTAAGTCCTCGTTAGTATATACTATACCCGACGAGTAACTAACTGACCAATACAGACATCGGCTCTCGACACATACACGGAACAGGCTTTACTACAGAACATTAACAGCATCCTCAAAGACAAAGCGCGCACAAGCGTTTTTGTAGCTCATCGATTGCGAACAATTTGTGATAGCGACCAGATCCTTGTGCTAAAGGAGGGCCGCGTGGCAGAAACAGGGTCGCATCGTGAACTTCTTGAGCTTGACGGCATATATGCTGAGCTTTGGAACGGTAAGGAGCCCGTCATTTGCTTCTGTTTAACCAACTGAACCGAAAGCTAACATACCACCTACATTATATAGCCCAAGAAATGTCTTTCGCGCAAGATGCAGAGAACGAAGGTAATGCCGAGCTTGAGGAAGGTGCTGGGCAAGAGGTGCTGCCAGAATCTAGACAAAAGTGAGCCGTTTAGAGAACTAGACTCGGGAGTTGGGTAGTTGCTGGTTCAATTTTGCGTCAATTTATTTTGTACACAGTGAAGGTTCTATGTCTATAGACCTTTTTTTTTCTTGTAAGCTCTTTGAAGTTGTCCCAGGATTACGTATCTATAGTGTCGGATGTCAGACTGTATGCAGTACCAAAAATTTCCTAGTCCTAGTGATGAAATATTAGCCGAATTAAAGCTGCATTCGGTACCGTTTTTTGAGAAACAAAGGGCAAAGTTTGGTCCAGTTTTATGTGGAGATCTAGGAACAGTGCCGAATCAGCGACGCGGCACGCGAGTCGATGGGACATCAACAATCATAGTGCCGTACTCCGTCCCAAGTTCTCCATACTTCCAAGCGCATGGATGATGCGAACGAACCCGGAAGGACCGGGGCATATGCCATGATTGAGCGAGCTTGAACTGCTCGAAGCCATGAACGCTGTCTCAGATAGATAACCAAGGAACTAGAACGCGTTCAGGGGTGTTAGAGTGAGTCTAGTGAACATAATAGGACATAGTCGGCCTGTTAGTGCGGGATTAATATCAGATTATGAGCATTGATTCGGGCCAACTGACGGCCCGAGGACGGGGCCGACCCCTGGCTAAACCGGAAGTGGACTAGTGGCGAACCCCAACCCACGTTTTTTGCCCCTCTCGGTTCAGTGACCATCCGCCAGGCGACGACCGGTCTTTCTAGACCCGTCAAAACTTCGCTTCTTCTGTGACCCATCTTCTTTTCCTTTCCTTTCTTTTTGTCTGTTTCCCCCTCTTCACCGTTCCATCTTACTCATGCGATTTTCTTTCTTTCTGTCTTTCTTTGTCTTGTGGTCGCATGCATAGTTTTAGTGGCTTATTGACGCACCACGTCATTCGTCGAATTACCCACATTCCTTCACCCATCAGTCTTTTTTGACGCTACACCAACTATCCTTTCTGAACCACTCATTATTAGATTACTATTGGTTGCTGCATCACATTGGAGTGTTTGCCCTCCTGCTCACGGCTTGCTCCCCCCCAAGAATTATTGATTCCGCTCCGTCTCCCAACTTCTTTCTCTTCTTTTCTTTTTCTCTCTTCTTCATCTGGCAATTGGTCTCCGCCTCACAGTCCTGGTATCTGATACCTCTTCTCACTCTTTTTTTCTACTATAGAACTATACAATAGCTCCACCAGGTAAGGCATTGTCGCCTTTGTTCGGCCCTCCTGCTCTATGCCGTTCTCCTGAGCATAATCGAATAAAACTACCAAGCCGACCGTTGCCATCATTGTAGCTTTTCGCTAATTCATGTTGTCGGCATTTCTAGCAAAGCAATAAGCTCTTGTCTACAATCATTATCTGTTACCATTACCAACGTTCCCTCCCGAAACCAGCGACTACTTCCGTTTGCAGCGTCGCAATTCCTTGATCACCTGTCGAACCATCTCCTCATACCAACTCAGAAACCAATCCAATTAACCGTTTAATCGAGTACCAGTGGAATACCAACAGGGTCAGAAGTTTTTCTTCGCAATCTTTACATACACAATGGGTCTCTTCGAGAAGTTACAAGCAAGTATGTCTCCTCAGACTCGCAGAGAGAAATGGTCACAACTGTTCGAATTAAAGCCCCATTACTAACAGCTATTCTGCTTAGAAATCGAACTTTATCGCCTAGAGCAGCGCTATGCTCGTCGCAAACATCGCAGCACATTCTCAGGTGTCCAGTACGTCGACGGTGAATATGTATACACCAACGGATCGAACTCGCCAGGGTCCGTCTCCAAGCACTCCACAGGCAGTTACTGGAAATCCCCTACGTGGGGCGTATCATCCAGCGATTCCCGTTGTCGGTGACGAACCCATTTGAACTCGACTTTTTTTCTGCGCTTGCTTTTTGACTATATATCCTCGGCATTACGTCTCGTGTGGAGGATGTGACGACACTTCCGACCGTTATATGTCCCGCTATTCCATTCATGGTTGAGAAATGAACGAAAGACAAAAGTTCATACTTTCTTTATCTGAAGGGCGAACTAGACCGGCCTGCTTCGATCTGAGACACAGGCAGCAACCCTTGTTCCCCTTCGGCACGACCCGATTAGCCTTGCATGCTTGTTCACGCAGAAACCTGTACAGTACCCCGCAGGACAGGCATGCGCGTCCATTTCTCAGTCTGACTGACGTCATTTGTACTGTGGCATTTTATTTTTTGGTATCACTGGAGTCTCTTTGGGTTTCTAGTTCACGCTGTGTTGCCTTGCACGATCTGGTTCGATTTTTTGGCTTGTCTCCTTCAACTCCAACTTACCTAGCATTCAGTTCCACTTTTGGTAAAGCAAAAGGATCAGGGCTTTGCTATTTTTTTCTTTTTCGTTCCTTTTTATTTTATTTTTTTTGACACTTTCATTCGGCTATACTTTCTCTCGACTTGAGCGGCTTGCTTCTTAGCCTGTCTGAGCTTCCCTTCTCTTCAAATATTTGATCATTCAACTGTACATACATTATATACGCGCTTCCTTAGAACTTTGAGAAAAGATGGAATGACCACTAAGTCATAAATCTAAAAGCTAGAGATGAAACAACGCTAGATTTCGATAACAGACGTGCGTACTAAGTCAGACAAGTGGCCACAAATCCTTCTCGAGGAACGCCGTAAAATAAGCACTATACACGGGGGCAGATGAGAAAACCTCCGTTTAACTACATCAGAAATAAGCGCATATTGTCGCAAACAGCGTCAACTTGTTCATAAAGCGAACAACCCCAATCACCGTTTCGACTTCCTACTCCCTATACCTAGTCGGCCCAGATTAGGAAGACCGCTTTTATGTCTATTCGCGGCACCCAGGATAGAACCCCCCTTCTGGTTTCCCATATCAGCAGGACTACGCCGTCCCTCAGCACCGGCTGCAAAGCCTAGGCCTGTCCGCGGTGTATCTGGGAGATTTGCCCGCTCCTTGTTCCGCGTTTGGTCTGCAGCAGAGAGGGCAGCAGTTAACGAATGACCCTGGAAGCCGGCGACGCCGTCGTCGAAGGGACGTTCCCTTGCGCGTAGGGCTCGGCGGGCTCTTTCCTGTACGGCTTTGAATTTATCGAGTAGTTCGACCCAGCGGATGGAGTTCTCTTCACGTTTAAGGCGGCTGCCTGTCGAGCGATCGTAGGCGCTTGAGCCTGAGGCTGAGACCATCGTGGAACTGTGAGGGCTTTTTTCAGTATGAGAGTACTTAGGGATATCTTTCATTCCTGTGGTGGGTTTCAAGTGTGCTTACAGTCGTGGTGTGTGGAGAAGGCCAATGTTGCTAACGCTGTTTAAACGGTTCTTTAAAGCCGCGAAGGCAGAGCTCTGCGGAAGGAGCATGAGGACGCCGTAGAGGCATTTGTAGAGATAAGGATAATTTTCTGGTTCAAGCAGTTGAAGTCGGAGATCTACCAACACATGAGCGCTCTTCAATAAAAGGGTACAGAGAATAGCTTGAAGAACCAAAAAGAAACAACGTACATGTGAAGACAGGTGACTCCAAAAGCTGGACCAGCTTATCGATTTGGATCAAATTATTGACAGTCATTTCGAGCTCGGCACTGGGAGTTTTTGTTAGGACACTTTAGCAAATATAGATTTTCCCATACTGACAAGACTTGGAGAAGGTTGTAGGCTTGCTCATATGCTTGTGCAAGCAGACACAGTGAAAATGTGGAGACAGAATTGTGACACCAAGACCTGAATAAAGCCACAAAGAACATCTGGCCCTCCTATGCAGATTGTTAGTTACAACATCTAAACGTGGGCTGATGCGGGTCTATTACTCTGGTGTCCAGGTTCCGTAGCCGTTTTCGCAGTCCGGAGAGCTCGGGCGCGGTAATCAGGTTATTGTTTAGATTCTGTACCATAATACTGGCGAATTCGAGGTCCTAAAATCACAAAGGGGATTTAGCACGTCCATCGGTTCGTTATGCAAGGCAAACTGACCTCTTCCTTTTCAAGACAGTCGGCTAGAGTTCTATAAATGCGCTCCGGGCTTAAATTCATACAAAGCTGGCGGATAATGAGGTTTCCGCGGACCTCTAATAAATGCCTATCGGTGGAGAACAGTTGAAGGAGGTTCACCATGAACGACTTGAAATAGCTATCCTCGCTATTCCGCGATATCTGGGATAAGAGCTGGAGATCCTTCGTCACCACTGCCTCCGCTGGATCGGACAGTGTCTTAAGCAGAGCAGGAAACGTTCCATCGTTGAATGCCACCACCTTTTTAGGAGCCTTACGGTGCAACATTATCAACCAAGAAAGAGCAGCTACTCTGGTGGCTTCATTCTCGTTCAAAAACTGCAGTGTAAGCGAGTTGACAGCCGCAGCATAATCAAGATCAGCAGGCGGCACGGGTGTGGACATGACACTGCTCCGAGAAGTCGGTTCTTGCGTAGACTCCTGCACCGACTGTTTCCTAGAGGCGGTGGTGGATGCATCAGAGGGTTTGGCATTTGGTGCAGATTCTCTCCTTTCAGTCTCTTTGTTGGGCGTTGAAGTTAGTCTCGAAGATGATGACTGTCGGGTCTCATCCGACAATGTGTCTTCGGATAGAGACACGATATACTCTAACAATGATGTGTTGACTCGATTTGCGGCCTGCCGCACTTGGTCTGAGCCACTGGACATAGCTGGAAGTACTTGGGTCAAAAGACGTGGAACGAATGGGAGTATGTCTTCGGGGCTTATTTCGAAGAAACTATCGATCCATCGCAGCGCTGTCAGCTGCATCTCTTCCTCTACTGGCGGTAAGTCTGGGACCGTTAAGTGGAATCATGCTCGGAATTTCTCACCATAAGATGTGTCAACGAAGCCCACCAAAATGTCTAGTATCTTGGGGTAATCTATTTGGACATCTTGCCCTGGAATCCAATCTCCGTCGGCATGCAAGCCGTCTTCATCAATTGTAGAGTCCACCTCAGAATCTTCTATCGCAACATCATTGGTTTCAGCTTCGGTTTCGGTCTCGGTTTCGGCGGCAACCGTCTGGTCGGTAGTTGTGCTAATACTGTCACTCGTAGTTGATTGCCTATTCTCGCTTCCTTGACCTTTCCGACTCTCTTCAATGCCTTTCTTAAGACGAGCAATTCTCTTGATTTCTGACAGAAACCTATCGAGTAGATTTTGAGTGGCAACGTTCACATCTCTATTAGGGTCACCAAGGAATTTGACCAGACCCCCCAGGAAGTCTGGTAAGTATGAGACAAGCTCAAGGTCAGGTATCGTGTCCAACAAAGTCAACCATGATACCAGGAACATCCGAGTGAACGGGCTGATGACATGTATTCGTTCTTTGAGTAATGGTATAAACTTTGGAAGAGAAAATGCCGTTGGAAGGTCGGGGTCTTCCAAAGCTTCCGGTTCTGTCTCTTGCTTCTCAGAAAGCTGCAAGACCGAAACATAGGATGCGGCGGATTCAGACACGATGTCTTTAACAAGTCTATCAAGGAGCTCGGCGCCATTTTTGACTGAAAGCTCCGAATCGGACGCCAACTAGGAACTTATGTCAGTTGGGGAACAGGCAATAAGGCCGAGGTGAGGACAGCGGGGAAATAAAGCTACTACTCAGCCCGCTTACTTTACTCAACGCATCGAAGATCTCATTAAAGAACAACAGAATCTCCCCCTTAGCAACTTTGGCAATGTTATACATGCTCTCACAAGCGTAGTACCTGACTCGCGCATCTTGGTCGGTGAAGCAAGCTAGCACTGGCGGTACAATCTCTTTGAGGTACGGCGCAACACCTTCCTGGTATCCTATTCTCAGTAACGACATTGTAGATGCTGCATCCCCGGCATGCTCACCGATCCAAGCGCGATGGAGGCCGCGGCCAACCCGATCAAGCCACCATTTCTCGCATGAGGCTGATGTACTGCGTAGGCGTAGCCATGACATAGCTGATCGACAATTCTTTGAATATCTTCATGTGCTCCTTTGAAAACGGCATCTCGAACAACTTTTTCAAGCCTGTATCATGGCCTCCGTCAGCACGTCTTGCTTTGCATAGGCGCTTTGACAGCTTTCATTGTTCTTACTCCAAGGCTCCCTGTTTCCTCCGATCATAGAGCTTATCATTCAACAAACGCTGAATGGAGGATTCCATCGCTCAGAAAAGCGTACAGCGCAGAAAGTTACGTCACACGGGGGTGTAGATTACTCGACGATGATGATGCTCATGATGGAAAAGCGACGTCTAGCCGGGCGGTGGGTCAAGAGCTCTTAACTAGTTGTAGCTATTCGGGGCCATGGGTCTCGGGACGAGTTGAACTTCTTGGAAGTTTCACAGAATGAATAGGAACTATTTTGCAAACAATAAACGGGGGGAAACAAGACAAGCGTGTTAATGTGTACGAAGATAACCAGTCCCCTGTGAGCTGCAGCAGCAGTCAAGATACCAATGTGGGGATTTAGTGGCAGTTAAAAAAAAAAACAGATGTGTTGGCAGCCATAAATGATGCCTTAACCTTAGCCTAAAGTGGGAACTGCCTTGTGACGTAAGGCCAGTGAGTGGTTACTCTCTGAATTTTATTTACTGGTCCCGAAGCTGTAAAGTAGTAGTCCTTCATTGTGTCCGTACCTCTGCAATTGAATCTTACCGCTATCCTCTATCGTCACAGGCGCCAAGGCCAACAACCACCAAACGCTTTCCCCGATCAGGAACCAAAGAATTTACGATACAGTCTTTGGTACCGCTGCGGAGAACTTGAACCTGCGGGCAATTGACATACAATCTCAGTCCTCCCCCCTCCTCCTACACCTCTTCCGGTCCGTTTCCTCAGGCATGACAATGAGTCAACCTTTGAGGCGAGGTGTACGGGCTGTGTCCTGGACCCGAGTGCTCCCTCCGCGGGCGCGACAAGGGCAGGCAAGATGCCTTCAGATTCGCGCCGCGGCCGCGGAACAACCATCTTCGGCCAACGGAAACAACCTGCCTGTGGTCGGCACTCCTAGTTCAGCTGAGTCTGCCGGTATGTTATTTTTACTTTATAATTTCAGGGACGGTACACGAGGTGCTTGTCCGGCGATTTGAACCAAGGACTTTTACTGATAGTTTAACACATGCAGGTGCGCGATTCGACGTTATCGGCGCTCCATACTCCTTATTGTCCGTCTCTTTGTCTGCTTCGCAGAATCTCTTCACCCGACGAGGAACATTAGTAGGACTGAGCGGGAAAGCCGATAATGTATGAGATAGTTCCTTGTTTTGCGATTCGATATTATACGATAGGTCTATTGACGGTTACTGGTGCCTTATCAGGTGGTTTCTACGTTGAGCGTTCTCGAGCCGTTCCGGAGAGCGGTTGTCGGTGTACCATTTCTCTACCAGAAGGTTCGTTTGGCCCTTTCAGCATCAGCAACGGGGATATAAAACTGACGCCTAGGTAGGTCTCGTCGGCTAGCCCGGTAACTGCCTTGGTTTCTGTTCGATCACCTACCACGTCCTTCGCTGTTGTACACCTGGATGGGTCCGTGGATTGGATGGTGGCACAGAGACGTGCACTGCTTGCCTGGACGGGTCGCTCTCTTTCTATCAAACCGACTATCAATACAAGCCTGGTTTGTTAACCATGCCGTCAATTGAAAAATCAAGCTGACTTGCGCAGAGCGTGTCACACTGGGGTAGCTCCGAAGTGACTGGCAGAGGGTTGCTAGCATTAGTCGGTACGGGTCAGTTATACCAGGTCGAGGTAAAGGCCGGAGAGCAATACATCGTCCACCCAAGGTATGGTTGTATATACTCATTAATATCACTACTTTGAAGCATACTAACACAGTCAAGCAATGTTGTGGCTTACACAATGACAAACAACCCCCCTCGTCCTTACCGCTTCAAATCCACAACCTTGAAATTCCAGGTACCGGGTCTCAAGGGCTTGCCGAGCTTTATCCAGGATTCGAAATTCATTCGGGACATGTCGGGCTCCGATACCTGGAAAACCGCGATGAATATCTTCCATAAAATTCGTACTTGGTCTCGGATGACCATCTGGGGAGACAGGGTATGGCTTCCATACTGATTTCAATGGTACAGCGGTGCTAATGTTGCGTGCTACCAGCTCTTTCTGCAATTCGATGGCCCCACGACTATTCTCTTACAAACGCGTGGTCCCCGTATCAATGAAGTCCTCACCTCGCACGAAGTCAACGAGATTGCAAGCGCCCCGAGAGGACTAACCATTGGACCTGCGAAACCCGCAGAGGAAAAGAAGCCGTCTGCCGACGAAGAGTATCGGAAGGCGGCCGAGGAGGCTGTCAATGCTGCCCCCGCACCCACAAGGACCGTTGAACAATTAGAACAGGAGGTCAGAGGGTCAGCTCAAAGCATTGCCACTCTTACGAAGGAAGGCAAGGTGATCTTTGAGAAACCTGGCCAACAAAACTAAGTGTAACGTTTGACATCGACTGTCCCAGTTGGGGCATGATACGGCGCTTATTCTAAAATCTCTTATTGTAGGCTGAATGTATAATAGATAGCATACTCCGCGTTTCAACATGAGTTTTTTTTTTTTTTTTGTTCCCTTCCCTACTGGACATGAAAACCATCTCGTGCTATGTTGTCTGCATAATCAACCATTTGACCTTACCAGTCTTCTGGGATAAAACCATAGACTTGTTTCTGCAATGGCCAGCAGAGTGTGATATGGATAATCGGTAGCGCAACGTTGGTTGAGCAAACCTGCAAGGGCTATGGCTCCCTTCGGTCGGCTGCTTTCGCCGGTGTCAGTTGTTCCAGCCCTATCCTTGCGCTGGGCAATGTAACCCAATAACGTCAAGACTTGAAAATCCATCCCTTGATTCAGAGCCAAGTTTTTCAATGCCACGGTTACCAGTGGAATATTAGGACATGAGGAATGTGAACTCAATGTTATGGAAAACAAACGTGCAATTGACTCCCCCGCCGAAAGACAGTTTATCTGCCGACTTTTCGATCCAAGCACGACTGGATTCTCTTTTGAATTTCGCTCGGTCAAGCTTTGATTCTTCAGTGAACTAACATCCTTCAGGCAGAATCCGGTTTCGCAGGATATACTCTCCTCCTCTAGTTGTTCGGTATTATGCTCATTTGTTAAGAGTCCTATGAGTCGCATAACTTAATCTTGAACATTACCGCGTCGTCACAGAACTCGGTCGTTCACTCCTATTACAATTATATAAATCACCAACATGCCGTCAACAGAGATACAACACTCCGCCGAAAGCGTCGTTGCCGAAAGTATAGAACAATCTCCATCAACAACGCCTGTCTATTCTTCGAGTGCCCATTTAAACCCGGAAGACGCGAAGCAAGAACATCCACATGAGGGAATCCAGCCGTGTCCACCAACGATTCTGGAAGATGAGTCTAGTAAAACCCGGGATCCAGAGAAATCAGGCGCGACTACCCAGGCTGCGCCAGCTAAAGCCCCAGATGCACCCCCGGATGGTGGCCTCAAGGCATGGATGGTAGTGCTCGGTGCCTTCTGTGGGTTGTTTGTCAGTTTTGGGTGGATCAATTGTAAGTAGCTTTTGGGCTTTGTACCCTTTGTTGTTTGTTGGACCGGGAGCTCGATTTGACACCAAAATGTGTAGGTATTGGTGTCTTCTTAGACTACTATAAAACCCATCAGCTACAGGATTTGCCAACCAGCACAGTAACGTGGATCACTTCATTGGAGATCTTCATGATGTTTTTCGGGGTGCGTACGCCAAGTTCCGGTGCCAGTAGACGCGAGACATTGACGATTCTACCTCCAAACAGGGTCCCATCGTAGGAGTATTCTTTGACAATTTCGGGCCCCGCTGGATTCTGATAGCTGGCACATTCTTCCACGTCTTCGGGCTGATGATGGTATCCATATCAAAGGAATATTACCAATTCATTCTCGCGCAAGGTGTCTGCAGCCCTATCGGGACAAGTGCCATCTTCCACGGCTGTCTCACCTCCGTGAGCACCTGGTTTCGGCGGCGTCGTGCCCTGGCCCTAGGTGTCACAACTTGCGGCTCAAGCGTCGGAGGAGTAATCTTTCCTATCATGGTAGCTCGACTCATCCCCATAGTAGGATTTGGCTGGACAATGAGGATCTGCGGATTCCTCGGTCTAGGGCTCTTGATTATTGCCAACCTCACGGTGCAATCGAGACTACAACATCACCGGAAACCATTTCGACCATTGGATTTTGTTCGTCCACTCCGTGAATTGCCTTTCGTACTTACCACGGCCGGGACCTTCTTTGTATACTGGGGCTTGTTTTTGCCGTTCGCTTTCATCCCAACTCAAGCCGAGCGGTACGGCATGTCGGCCTATATGGCGTCATACTTAATCCCGATTCTTAACGCAGCCAGGTCCGTACTCCTCGTTTGTATATCGCATACCAAGATGCTAATCGAAACTGTACAGTATTCTCGGCCGTCTCGTACCACCCTATTTGGCCGATCTTTTCGGCAGGTTCAACCTAATGATGTTAACATCCCTGTTCTCAGTCATTATCGTTCTTGCGCTGTGGCTTCCATCACGAAGCAATGCCCCTGCCATCGTGTTCACGTCTCTTTACGGTTTCAGCTCCGGTGCTGCCGTCTCCCTTGCGCCAGCGCTGGTCGCTCAGATCTCGGACCTGCGTGAGATTGGAGTTCGTAGTGGAACGTATTTCTGCATTGTATCTTTTGCTGCTTTGACCGGTATGCCGATTGCCGGTGCTCTGTTACCTGACCCCTTACATGGGTCGTACTTGAAGCTGGAGATTTTCTGTGGTGTGGTTATGTTCGGTGGAGTTGTGTTTTATCTCTTAGCTAGGGGAAGGATTAGCGGTTGGGGACTTATGCATAAAGTCTAAGAAGTTAGTGGTGGGCATTGTTTGGGAGTCTGGTATATACGTCTTAATTAAGGTAATGTAATGCTTGTGGGTTGGTGAGGCTATGATGCAGAAAATATGAGGGTAATGAATGGTATTCTGATAAGACTGAACATGCTGGGAGTATATCCAAAATGAATGCAAAATACAACATCAAGCATCTCGCCCAACCAACACCGTAACACCTTCGCTGAATGAATGATAAAACAAATATATGCATGGCCCATGTCAGTTGCACCTGTAATGGTGCAATGCAGGATGAGAGATGCAATATGCATTATGCAGTTTGTTCAATATGCTTGTGATATCCCAACGCTCCACGGATGCAGATATCAACTTCTGTATATTACGCTCTTTAGACCAAGACTCCATTTCTCATACTTTCAACAGTCTTAACGCCGACTCCTCTTAGTGTGCTCAGTTCGGCAAGGCTGTTGATCTGGACTTGTCTATCGCTGTCCTGCTCCTCCAAGTGTTGGTCCATTTCGCAAAGACAGTCGACTATAGCTTCAGCTTTCTTGACGCCAACACCTTTCAACAACTTAATCTGGCTCACGTCGCGAGAGTTGATTATCGATAGAAGGTGGATTGTCCGGGGTGAAGGGGCCTCGTAGCAGTCGACGCTAGACCCTTCATCTGTCGCAGAACTGGTTTTGGTGCGCTTTTTGGGCCTCGATTGTGTTATTTCTTCGATATCGTCGTCACTGAGTTCCTCGATTCCATCTTCGGGGTTGTACTCGCCATCCGAATCCTCAGCTTGACGCTTCAATCTCATTCCGACGGGCTGCCTCTTTATTGAAAGAAGGCTTCCAAACTCCCTCTTGGGTGCTGTGAGGGTGTGATTCCCGGTTATGTCAGCATCTGGACAGGGCTTGCTTTGGACCCGCTGCTTCAGAGTGCTGATCTTTCTTGCAAGCTTCTCGTTGTCTGGGAAGAAAGGAAGCGCGAGCTGATACATCTTCAGTGCGAAGCTATCCTCGCCACGTGCCTGGTGCTGCTTGGCCATGAGCAAGAATGACAATCCTTCGGCTCTTGCGTCCTCCGTGCCTTCGATGCGCTGCTCTAGTATTTCCAAGCGCTTTTGCACTTGTTCATTCAACTCACGGACCTGCGTTTGCCTTGACTTTTCACTGACAGCTCTTACAGCCAGGATCTCCTCTACCTTCTTTTCAACCATCTCTTCAATTTTGGCGGCTGATATATCTTCGTACTGTTTTTGTGACTGAAGGGGCTGCGCGATTCGGCTGGGTTTTAACGAGCGGTGGTTAGAATCTAGGGAAGGACGCTTTGGTGGCTCAGGTTTTCTGAATTGGGTTGAATCCCTAGACCGCGGTTTGTCTGAGTAGACGTGGAACGCCTTGACTGGTTTCTCTCCAGTTTTTGACGCATCCTTCTCTTTGTTGGCAAGTGCTGTCAGGTTTACATTGGCAGTAGCGGTCAGTGGACGCAGAGGCTGTCTCTGGGCAGTCACTGAAGGACGCGCTGCGGGTCTCGGAGGCCCTTTGAACATCGGCTCGTTCTCCACCTCACGAACCTCAATCTTCTTTGTACGATTGGCAAAGTTCAATGAGCTTATGGTGTCCAGGTGATAGGATTTGATGGGTGCGAGGTTGAGAATCATCACTGTCAATCCATTGTTCTGGCCCAAGGAAAGGATTCTTGTCATCTTTGACTCTCTGTACGGAATCCTATGGTGCTTCTTGCTTATGGCTTCCACGCACTGTGCCAGAACAAAGAGGCTCTTGTTGATACTCGCTGACTCAACCATGCGTTCTTTGTCATTGTCTGTTCGACGGTTATCCTCTGAACCAGCTAAGTCAATGGCAGATGCTGTGCTAATCCGAGTCTTGCCACCAGAGCTGACGGCTACTTTGACGCAGAGAATAGCATGAGACCGTGACGAGTGAGCGTTTAACTATGAGAGAAGTCAGTTACATGGGTCAGACCTACAAGAGTAGAAGGTTTGCTTACCTTTGTTGCAGATGTAGACCTGTTGGTGTTGGCTTGATCATAAAGACTCTCAAACTCTTTCAGACTTGTACATGGCCTTTCCGTCAGGCCTACAACCACTGTCTTTCCTCCATTATCACGCAAGGGTAGTCCTGCAAGCGTTCTCTTCTCCGGAGGCTCAAACAAGTCGAAGACCTTGTCATTGTAGATCTCGTAATAGCTCAAGGAAACGTCCACCGCCGTCTCGCCGTCACCATCTTTTTCAAGTTTCCGGCTGCGCCTATATATGCTACTCAAAAGACGGGGAATGACGCCTCGATCAGCCAGGCTTTTACCGCCCCGCATCGTGTGTGTTTTCCCGGTACCCGTGACTCCGTAGGCGAACAAGGTAACATCGAAACCGTTGAATAGATGCTTAACCGTAGGAGCAACTGTCCGTTCTGATCAGTATAGAGTCACTATCCCAGACACGACGAAGTAGGACACCAACCCTCGGCATCAAAGAGTTCCTGCTGTGTAGAATCCGCATCGTAGACGGCATTGAACTGAAAAGAGTATTCCTCATTCTCATTCTTGGGGTTTGGAATCCGTACAATGGTATCTCGATCCCGCAATGCCGCCAGCTTCTTTTCCTTGGAGCTCTGTTTCTCGGTCTTGCTAGAGGCGGCTTGAGTTGTAGACCCCGTACGGAGGATGATATCCAATTCTCGCTCGGACTTCAGGAGTGGCCTCACACGCGCAACGACCCTGACACTCATATTGTACTTCGTGTGAAATTTTCGAGAAAGAGGTCTCTTCCAATCCACCTTTTTGTCGTATCGGAAATAGCCGTCTGCCGTCTTTTCGCACCGTTGGGAAAGTACCTCTCGCACTATACCTGCTGCATGGGAGGCAAATGCACGCAATTTAAATAAGAGTGAAAGACACGATGAGTACCTCCACCTTGTGCGTCAGGGAGCTGTATCGCAACTTTGAACTTAACGAGAATACAGTGCAAACTCTTTTCGCATTGGCGCTGTTATGCCAGAAAACAAACAACGGGAGAAAATCAAATATATTAAATCAATGAAACCAACAGAAAAACAAAACAGAAAAAAAATACTACAACCGATCAATGGCGTAAGCTGGTGTTGGAAACAGAAGAGGCTCTCGTGAGTGACAAGGATACTTAGCTTGGTTTTGGTGCGATTGGCAGCGGTCAACGCTGTTGGCACGGCAACCTCTGTCAAAGACCTCCCCCAGACATTCCACGTTACAGGATGGGGCTTCATTTGGGCAGATTATGATAAAAAAAGACTATTTAACCCTGCTTTGTTGTTCATGTACTCGGATTCTATAATTTCAGGTTTGGGTAGTTACTCATCTTGTAACAGCTAAAATATCAAGCATTCCTTATGTATACTAAGCTTTAGTGTCAGAGCACTATATATATCGGTTACCTATGCTTGTAATGATTTGAGATAGATCAAATTTTATGGCAAGGATATAAAGAGGATAGCCAAGTAAAGCGACTTGAATAAGAAACAAGCACCCATCCTTATTGAACACGAGCGAATGGCTGGTTTTCATCAATCTTATCCATTGTACCTGACTATTGCCATCTACCCCCTTCGAAGTATGAGATCATAATTCGAATGAACGTCGAGGAGCGAAGTTCTCTGGGCTGCTTGATGCTATTCTCACTAGTCAAGTAGTATAACGCTATCCTAACGGCATAATTCATTTGGAGCAGTAATCTTGACGGTTCCATGATATACCCTTCGAATCTCGCCTTAGAAAGTGTTCTCTGTACTCCGTAATGGAGACCTAGGTATATACATACCATTAAGTAAACCTCAGGCATGCGGTCGGTTAGCATGCGGGGCTCTGATTGGCCGATCGGAGAGCAGCCGCCGCAAAGGCCACCGTACACCACCATCGTCAGTTCGACGCCGTTGTCGTTCCGCTCTCACAGCTACCCCAACCTTCTCAAGGACACGTCGACTGAACTCGAGTGCGGTGTATTCGTGTGGCCTTGTCATCCTCTCAATTTTTATGGTTGGACCGTTGACGATTTTTGGTTGTTAGTACGCAGATTGCCCTAGATCACTCGTTCCCCTCCTGATTAGGAGTAGTGTGTTGACCGCCAATATAGTGAGCCTGTGACGATTGCGCGACGTTAACATATACTCCAGTTAACCCCTATACGAGTTCACGGAGATAATAATCCATCAGTTACCCACTACGACATATCGAAATAGCCATTCATGGCCGCACCACAAGGGGGTTACCCTCCCCAGGAAGGGTATGGTCAACCTGCCGGATATGAGTCTCCTTCACAGCAAGCTGCGGGATTAGCCCCTACTCCGGCTCAACATGGAGGTAAAAAGAAACGAGCATATGCCGGTGAAGCCTTCGAGTTTGGATCCGGTGCCAATGCTGGCCTAGGGGGTCAACTACAGGCTGGTGGTGCCTACGGAGGATACGCAGCTCAGCCACAAGCTGCGGGATATCAGCAACCCGTCTACGGGGCGGATCCTACTCAGATGCAAGCAGCTGCTCAAGGATATGCTGCCCCTGCGGCGCCCGCAGTCGCTCAGATGACCCAACAGTTCGGTGCGATGGGGGTGACCGATCCGCATCTGATGCCACCGCAGCCCGTTCCTCAGGCCGCCCAGGCCCCGCGACCTGTTCTCAACCATCTTTACCCAACAGACCTCCTCACACAACCATTCAATGTCGCGGAACTTGACTATCCTCCACCTCCGATTGTTTTACCTCAAGGAGTATGTACTGGAATTGGAGAAGTGTTAGTATCGGTGCTGCCAAGTTACTGACTGTGTATTAGACCAGTGTTTACCCCTCCCCTACTGCAAACTGTCCTCCTAAATATGTCCGGTCAACTCTCAACGCTGTTCCCACCACCCACTCTCTCCTGAAGAAGTCCAAGCTACCTTTCGCTCTTGTCATCCAGCCATACGGAGCGCTCCATGATTCGGAAGACCCGGTGCCAGTGATCCCAGACCAAGTTATCTCTCGTTGTCGCCGTTGCC